TGCGGGGCGGACGCTCACTCAGGCTCCCGGTGCTGGACGTAGGGAGGCAGGAATGGCTTTCAGTTCGTCGTGCGGGGGTCCTAGGCGCCGGCCTGAGAAGAGAAAAAAGAGAAATGGGGTTGGCTTTGACAGGGTTGAGTGTCCAAGCGATGGCGAAGAGCCTCTCTCCCAGGAGAAGCTAAGACCCCTTCCCCTGCTTACCTTCCAGGCAGCTCCCGGTCGTTTCCGGGCACTTGGATCCTCGCCTGCTTGGGAAAGTGATCAGAACAAGCCATCTTCTCACCACCCAGCTAAGCAATGATGGCTTCAAAAATCCATCCCTCCCAAGAATCATTAGCTTGTAACGTTAAGTAACTTTATATAGGATCTGGCAAAACCTTTTCCAAGATATCCTTGCTGATCGTTACAGTATACAGGGTATAGAAATGAAATGAGACAGTTACGTGTCTAAAATTGTTCTCAAATGATTTACCATAATTTAATGTCTAACTTAGATTATCATACCTCTGGCCTAAGGAGCTCTGGTAGCATAGGCACTTGACTGCTAACCAGAAGGCTGGTGGTTCAAACTCACCAACCACTCCTCGAAAGGAAGGTTGGGCAATCTACTTCCGTAGTGATACTGCCTCGACAACCCAAGGAGGGGTCTCTATGAGTTGGGGCCCACTATGGCACATAACAACCACCACCACCACCTCTGGCCTTACTAGGCTTAAGGACTTTTGAAGCCTATACTTAAACAGCTTCCAGAAACGGGTAAAACCAAAAAATTCAGCCAACTATATTAAATGCAGTCCAGAAAATTTGAATTATTTAGAATAGTCAGCAGCTCAATTTCTTTCCCCATTTTTTCCAATGCACAAAAATATCAGAGGTGTAGTGCTTCAGGTACACGCCAGATCTTAAATATATTTGTTGTCTACTTGAATACAAACCAATATATCTCGAAACTACACTATTTTGAATTAACCAATGATGATTCAGCACTAGTATGAAGGGGTCACCTGTACAAGTCGTTTTGTTTTCTGTTCCACAAAGACTAAAGCCCCAAAGTCTAACAAACGAGCCCTGGTGGTGCAGTGATTAAAGTGCTTAGCTGCAAATCAGAAGGTCGATTTGAACCCACTAGTGGCTAAGGAGCTCTGGTAGCATAGTGGCTAAGGCACTTGACTGCTCACCAGATGGCTGGCGGTTCAAACCCATCAGCCACTCCTCGGAAGGAAGGTTGGGCAATCCTACTTCTGTAGTGATACTGCCTCGGAAACCCAAGGAGGGGTCACTATGAGTCCCTATGAGTCAGGGCTTCAGGGCTGACTCCACGGCACATAACAACAACAACAACAACAGTGGCTTACTGCAGGAGAAAAGATGAGGCAGTCTGCTTCTGCAAGGTTTATAGCCTTGGAAACCCTATGAGGCAGTTTTCTGTCCTATAGGGTCTCTACAAGTCTGAAATGACTCCACAGCAGTGGGTTTGGTTTGGTATAGTTGAACATAAGTTTCTTAATGATTGAGTCAGAGAGAGAGAGTAAGAGCATAAAGCTACCTGAGAGTCACATCAACCTTTCCAATACAGTTATGTGGTGCATAATATCCCTTCAGGCAATATCCCAAATATCCCACTGCATATATGTCTGTGGTTCCAACTCCCATAAAGGCTATTACATTAAAAATTCGAGGTACATACAATGATTTGTAATAACAAACGGGCACTACTTTGCCTTCTCAGAACATTATTATTACTGCTTTATTTTAAAGATGTTTTAATGTATCTGGAAGTGTTTTTTTCAATGTTTTCTATGCATAGAAATGTATACTACATTCTATAGATTAAGACAAACATTTAACTGACATTAAATACTAACTGTACCTGTTCTGACTTATAAACAAATTGGACTTAAAGACAGACTTAGGAACAGAACTCTTGTTATCTAGGGACTGCCTGTATGTAATACAGTATTCCCACAATGTCCAAATGACATAATGTCTTACTTCACAGAATATATCTTGGACATTAAGCGACTAGTCAAAGCTGTACTTAATAAATTTGATCTTAACAGATCTGATCAACTGAGATAAGCTCTCATTCCTCTCTTCTCAGGACTTTCAGAAGGGTTCAGCAAGCCTTCTATGGTATGGGACCAAACCTTGCTATCTTGGTTGACATTTTTCCATGGAACTGATTTTGGAATTTTAATTAGTTATTTCTAAAATACACATATTCTGACCTAGTAATATAGCTGGTTTATTTTCTATGTTATTTTCCTGACTTATGTTTTCATTGTCAGTTCAACACATTTTTTTTTCCTGTGACTATCTTGGGAACTTTAATAAAAGGCAGGAACAGAAAGTAAAGGAAACAAAGCACCACCACAATAGTGGCACACATTCATAATTTAGTTAAGGTATTTCGTGTCATCTTAGAGGCTGATCTTGTCCTCAGGCAAATCAAAGAGTCATTAAATGAAATGGAAATTTTGTTCTTAAAAATATAGAATTGATTCTTCAGTTAAAAAGGAAAAACAAATCAAGGTATATTAAGATGTAGGATTGGCATTTCTGTCATAACAGAATCACATACTAGGTCCAAGTCCAGCAGCATAACTATTACCTAAACTCATGAACTGTAATACTAGCTGCTCTTAGTAAGCCTTTAATTGACATGCATTTTCCCATGAAGCATGAATTTCAATACAAGTAATGACAGTTTGAGGCACACTTTAAGATATAATGCAAATTACTCATCTAAAACCTGATAACCTCAGAATTAGCTGAAACCTTTTGGGAAAGACCAATGTGTCACCCAGAACAGAGGCCCAGCTGCACTGCATATAAAAGGACCAACAGACAAGCACAAGGATTAAGAAAACAGTATCTCACAGCTACAAAAATAAAGAGCTTATCTCACCTTGAATGCAGTATTCAGTTAAAATCATGCTGGAGAAAAATTTGAGGGCTGAAAAAAAAAATTAAGGGCTTTTAGAAGCAAAATCATTAGAAGAGAGATTAATGACTAAGTACCAGATTTTGTATCCATCTCTGACTAGCACAGACCAAAAAAAAAAAAAAAGGATAAACTATAACAAAGTAAGAGCCATTAAGATGTATTTATAATACTTTCTATGTAGCACAAGAACAAGGGGGACATTAAGTTTAAAAAGTAACATGTTTACCAACTAAATACAAAAGAAATGTAGCCTAGCATAGGCTAAAGGTCTTGTTACAGCAGTGCTGTTTCCCTAGTAAAGAGCAGAGTAGATACTTAATTTTGACCATTTAATTTGAAATGGGCAAAGTTGTTTACATAGACTTTCAAGACCCCCAACCTTTTGGAGAAGAGCCTAAGGGAGAGGAGGAGAAATTGTGGTAGAAGATTACTAATAGAATCTGTTAAGCAAAGTTGGATTAAAGCTGTCTAAGCACCCTTCAAGACCAAAATGTCAAAAGACATAAAACAAATGAGAAATTAAGATATTTTCATTTTACGAGAGATCTGTCAGAAAACTTACAAACTCTCTCTGATTAATAATTTACAGGCAAGCAATTTTTCCCATTAAACATCATTTTATAGAACTTCATACTCAGATTCTCTTGAAGTATCGTTATTAGTTGTTGTTGGGAGGGTTCCAGCACACAGTCACCCCATGTGTGCAGAGTGGTAGAACTGCTCCATAGGGTTTTCAAGGCTTTCAGAAGTAGATTGCCAGGCCTTTCTTCCAACTTAAAGTGTTAGTTTCATCAAAATTACTTTCAGAAATATAGGTGCTAAAAATAGTAATAAAAATATCCATTATATATATATTTTTTTAATCTGACATATAGGAGCTCTGGTAGCATAGTGCCTAAGGCACTTGACTGCTCACCAGAAGGCTGGTGGTTCAAACCCACCAGCCACTCCTCGGAAGAAAGGTTGGGCAATCCTACTTCCGGTAGTGATACTGCCTCGGAAACCCAAGGAGGGGTCGCTATGAGTCAGGGCCGACTCGATGGCAAAACAACAACAACAACATTATCCTAAATAGATACGCAGATTTTCAATGAGTAAAACAAATATTTTGTATTCAAATTTTAATGTGCTCCTTTGACACCAAAAATTGTTACTCTAATTTCACTTTGCAAATTTATTTAAAGGTAAAATAGCTACATATACTAAGTTAAAATGGCCAATTCCATTGGGAATTCTATCTATCTATATAAAAGATTCTTTCATGATAACAAACACTACCTTGAACTCTGGGAGATATTGAAAACCACTAACAGTGTAAATAAGAGGTCATACTGTAATGGAAGGAACCCTAGGTTAAGAGTCAAAAATTCCAGTTGCAATTTTGGCACTAGCTCTATGTCCCAAGCAAGACAAATCTTCAAAGTTTCAATTTCCTTATCTACAAAATGAGAATAAAAATACCTGTTTTCT